ACACGTCAAATGTTTTCTTAATTATCTATCATGCAAATGGTGCGACCAAATAATTTCAGGCATTCCACCAAAACCAAAGAGGCTTGAACAAAAGCAGTTTCACCTAGCAATGGGTATAAACTGTTGCTTCATTATTTGCTCATGTAAAATAGCATTTCAACAACAGGAATTTAACATAACAATCTAAATAAGTTGTCATTTCAATACATTGATTAGTTGTTTATCTAAAAATTATTTTCTCAAATCTAGGGGCAATTCAACACAAGCAGTCTCAAATAGCAATGGGGAAGAAATTGTCTCTTGAGCGTTTATTATTTGTTTATGTAAAAAAGTATTAATCAAAAATAGAGGCGTTTCAACATAAACATTGGAATATAAAACATAAAAATTGGAATATATTTCTGCGTTTCAACATAAAAATTGGAATATATTTCGACTCAGTACATTCGTTATTTGTTAATCTTAAAACATTCGATTATCAGCTCTTTTTAATGTATAAAATAGGTATTTGTTTTTGTCATTACATGTGCTTCGATTAGTCTAATTTCTAAAAAACAAATATCACCCGGTTTAATAGAGTATCGTAAGAAAAGTCACACTAGCGTTTCTACCTTATTCGATAAGAAACTTCCTTTTTTTCTGTCCAGTTTAAAATTTCAGTTTCAGTTTGTTTGTTTTTAGCTATGCACAAACTACACAAGGGCTATCTGTGCTCTGCCCACCACGGGTATCGAAACCCGGTTTCTAGCGTTGTACGTCCGCAGACATACCGTTGTGCCACTGGGGGGCTTCAGTTTCAGAACAAAGTGTATCGTGACAAGGTGCTCAGTAACACATTATAATTACCAAAAGAAAATTGCATAAATTTAATTATACTTCAAGACACATAACGAACATAAAACACAAAACATTAAATTATATACACTAAGTCTTTCATGTGATGCTTTTAGTAAGTTACTAAATATCGACTAACACCATATACATTGTGTTTAAATTGATTATTTGAATGAAATCACATGACTTCTAAAGGAACTGTATCGTTGACGAACACCGTACACTCGTATCCAATTAAGTCAATAACATAACGTTTGTAGGAACGGTACTATCGATCAGGACCGAGCATACCCCTTCCCAAAATCGATCAATTTTCGGAAGCATCACACTACCTATGAAATATCAAACAATGACAAAATGTACTTCCAATACATGGTGTTCCACTGCGATTTTATATCGGCTGTAATTGTCATGCAACTTTTTGACTTGCTTATTAAAAATCGATATAACGTATCAACCCTCTGTGTAAACATGTCAGAAGGAAAATCCGTCTTCTTAGTATTCATGACTTAAAATTCTTATTTCACAATGTTTTGTGTGTAAGATGTACTTTATGCCTCTTTTTCGTCAATAAACGTTTCTAAAAGTATCATAGACAATGCAATAGGATTTCGTATCATGGAATATTCTTCATTCTCTATTGAAAAAAATATTCTGATACTCTAGTCTGTTGCTTAGTCAGAATCACATTAAAACTATTATTTCAGCAGAACTCTGAATCTTCTATATATTACCATCCGTACTTAGCTTGTATTTTATCTTTCTTCGTAACATTCTTCAAGTTAGAAGACTGCCGCATGGAGAAAACCCTAGATATCCACCAAATTACCAGTCAGTGATAATCCGATTTGATGCGAACATTTATTTGACAAACTATGTTGTTTGGTAATGTTGTGAAGAAGATAAAGCATAAGCACTGTATACGTAGCTACACACAAGTTAAAACCTCACATTTTTACAGTACGTAACACTGTGATATAAGCACTATATCACAGTTTTACAGCACTATATCCCAGTGTTACAGTACTATATCACAGTTTTACAGCACTATATCACAGTTTTACAGTACTATATCACAGTGTTACATTACTATATCACAGTTTTACAGTACTATATCACAGTGTTACATTACTATATCACAGTTTTACAGTAATATATCACAGTTTTACAGTACTATATCACAATTTTACAGCACTATATCACAGTTTTACAGTACTATATCACAATTTTACAGCACTATATCACAGTTTTACAGTACGATATCACAGTTTTACAGTACTATATCACAATTTTACAGCACTATATCACAGTTTTTACAGTACGATATCACAGTTTTACAGTACTATATCACAGTTTTATACTTCTCTTCTTCAGATTAGAAAGTTCATGTCACTAAATTTTCAGATCTTTGAGAAAAAAACGACTTTTATTCACTCTTAGTGTCACACTATTACTCTCTGCAGCTTTACATAATCCATCTAGAGTGCGATGACGACAGTTCCCTAGTCCAGTACCTGTTCCAACAATCCAATCACCCAGAAATCTATAGGCACTACATTTGTCGACTTTACCGATATGTTTTCGTATAGAATATCGTCAATACCGTTTTATCGTCCAGTTGGTTATTTTCTCACTAGAATTACCTTTAAAACGAAAGATTTAGGTCTCTGTTACGGAATAGTAGTTTTAAGTGAACAATTACGGTAATCACTGAGTTTGTATTTATGACTTGAGATATTGATTGTCACTCTGATACAGGTGTGAAATTGTTGAATGGAAGATTTTTAACAATAGAAACTATATTTAAACAGACATAAAAACGCACATGAAAATAAAGTTTACTTTGCACTAAACGGAAACTGTTGGCTAAATGACAGTAACAAAGGCACACGCACATGATGATCAGGCTAAACGTTATAGTGACCACAATACGGACAGAATTTAATAGCAAGTTTTGGCTCTCTCAGGACAAAAACAAAACGAACCTGGCTGAGAACGCCAAACGAGCTTTCATAAGCTCGCATTCCCTTTGGAGGTCACCAATCACAAAATTGGGTCACGAATATCGAGAGGCATCTCTGCTTAATGTTATTCGCTTAAAACAGTCTCCCATACACAAGATAATGTATAGGATAAAACACAACTATGCAATAAAATAGTAGATAGCTTTCTTGACTGTATCCTACCACACAAGTAATACCTAGAGCAAAGTTAATGTGCGGCCTCGACCGGACTTACCACATTCCAAGTTAGTACAACTGGGGTCGCACTAACGGTAAAACATTTCCATGACTTCTGTACCATTTGTGTTTCATGCTTACTGAAGTGTGTCTGAGCTGAAATCAAAATATTTCATTGTTACGCTAAAAGTATCTGCCACTCATTCTCGCACTCAACGACATCCTATTCTGGTAGTTCAAGTAATATTTTATTAATTAGTCATTTTTAACGTGTGTATTTTATGCATCAGCTTATTTTCGTGGTATGCAAAAATGGTCTCCAAGTAATTTTATTCCTTGATAGTTCCCATAAGAACTTGTATAGTTTTTTAACGCTTTTCATATTATCGGTTTCAGAGAATTCAAATTTCACAAGATAGTATTAGTACAGTATTTATTCAACTTCTCTAAAACCGTCTAGTTGGACCACGCTAAAGTATTTACAATTACTCACAACGCTAAGCATTGCACTTAAACATCAATAAAAGATATAACTCAAGATGAATACTTAAAACAAATTCCACACAAGGTCTATTTCATTTGGATCTCAGCATCCAGTTACACTACACCACTCTTTCACATCATTACAAGAATACCAAGTACAGAAAATATAATATAATAGTTTTTCAGAGTAACTCTTATAAATATTTGATAAACAAATCCATCAAAGACTGTTTTGGTGAGTGAAGAGCTGTCTTCACTGAGCAGTATTCTGACAATATGTTGGTGGTGGATAAGCTGCCAAATACTGCTTAATAACTGCTGGTGGTGAACAAGCTTTAGAAATCACTGCAACAACCCTACAGCAAAGCCTTAGAAATCACTGAAACAATGCTAAAAACACCAGTAAAATCAATGTTTAGGAGCACTGTAACAACCTTAGTACAGCTTTAGAAATCATTGAAACAATATTAACAACATTGTAGTAAATGCAACAACAGCTTGAACATCATTCTAAAAACTGAAAAAAAAACAACACAAAAACCTTGGTATAGTGAATAGCTAGTAGATGACTATAGTAAATTCACAGAGACCACCAAAACATGTAAATTACTATATATAACCCTTTTGAAAAAAAAAACTTAATGCCACCAGCATCGAACTAAATAGTTAAGAGGCAACAGGGGTGTTGGTTTAGAGTAGGGTTGCCTGAAGAAAAACTTTAATATAAGTTTAACATAACAGCAAATGTACAACGTTTCGACAAGGTTTTGTCATCATCAGGTACAAGTAATTTACACTGACACGGATATATATATACAGTATTGAACAAAGAAGTCACATGACCGGAACTGTTGCAAAACTTAGAAGAGGTATCTATGACCCATTCCAGCCGTCTTCAACCTATATTTGTCTCAAAGTGGGTTCCTCGTCATCGAATTATGAGTCTTTTGTACAGAAAAAATCAGAATTTCTAATAAAGTATTTTTGCTTAATATTAATGATTCAATAAAGGAAGATGAGTACTGAGTACTACATGTTGTCTTCACTTCTTTCATCAGACACATTATATGCAAAGTAACATAACAAATTAACAATAACAAAATGGACAGAAAGATATTAACTTTTTTAATTTTACTTCTCTTGCCAGCTGCCATTTAGTTGATCAAACCTGAGAACTTGAAAACCACTGTAAAGTGTGAAGTACATAAATAAGACAATGTTAGTAATATAGATAATAAATTACAGACAAGACTGTCAAACTCTGTAACAAACCATTGGTAAAATTTCTGTATCTAGATACGTGTCGTATCATGGCATCAACATATAGATACGTATTGTATTGACTGCTATGATGAGATACACACCCCTAATAATTATAGTAACAAACACACCATCAACAAATCAGTTTCTCTATCAAACACAGTTGCAGTAAGAAACACACCATCAGCAAATCAGTTTCTCTATCAAACCAAAATCACAGTATCATAAAGACCATCAACAAACCTGCTGTCCTTGTTGTTCGTTTCCTTGAACTGCTCCTTCTACCTCTACTGGCACAGGCTTTATCATCTCATCCTCACATTCTGAATAACTCTCTTCACCATCATATTCCTCACCCAGCTCTTTTGGTTGTCCTATCAACATAGCTTCTGCCCTTTCAGCTTCTGTTGCATCAGGGTCATGTACTGCTAAGTGTCTGATTAAATTGCCCTGTTGACATCAGAAAACTGATGTATAACACTAACATTACTAGCCTAGGTATTATTATCTAATATTATTCAAAAGCATTCACAAAAGATTCTTAAAACACTAGGTACTGGCTACAACATGCTAAGTGAAGAAGAAGTTATGAAAATACCTGATAAATGCTCAAACGTGTATACTATGTAGTGAAAGTATAGTGATGGTACTTAATAACATAGTATTGACTTCTCTTTTAACATATATATATATATATAATAAGTAGATGAAGGGTTGTGTTAATACTTAGTATTGCTTGTAGCTTTAACACACATATTATAACTTTCATATACATATGTGTGTGTGTGTGTGTGTGTGTGTGTGTGAGAGTATGGGAAGTGGAGAAATGGTAAACAGTGTGATAGCTTGCTGAAATTCAGATTCTGTAGTACGTATGTTACATTATCAAATCAAGTTACCCACACAGATCAGAACTGAAAATTAATCCATTAATTAAATATGTAACTAACTTAATTAGAAGTATGCATTGTAATAACACAAAATATATCATATAATAATTAGAATACACTATTTCATCAGTTGGGTATCCTCATTGTTAGCAATATTTAGTGTAATGACATTTAACACTGACTGACTACAGTTCAGAGATGCTGTGATGATACAAATTACATATATTTGTCACAGATCATAAAAGGAAAGAACTGCTTCGAACAAAAGAAAAGTTAGTGATAAAATATGGAAGTCTTTTATGTATTTTTCTATATGTAACAAAAACATTTTAAAACTGACAAAATACATTCATTAACCTATTAAAACATACATATTAAAAATTTTTTATCTCAAATTAACTTCTCCATCTGCCACAATTACAGAAAAAAACAGTGGACTTTGTGCATGCTGTTTCTTCGCAGTTGGATGTTATTTTTCACTATATATACCAGTCTAGCCCACACAATTCTAACAACCATTTTTATGCTTGATCATATCTGATTCTAAACTCTTCTCACAGAAGTTAACTATGTTATCCATATATACTGTCTCTTTTAAATCTGCCTTACTTTGTGTCGGAAAGCCTTCCCACACTCTGCACATTCATGTGTCTTTTCACGAGGAACAGGTGGTATGTAATTTGGGTCATGATACAGGTTTTTATGCCTTTTAAGCAACTGCTTCTGTCTAAATGACTGGTCACACTCATCACAATGGAATGGCTTCTGGTCAGTGTGAATCAACATATGGGATTCTAGATGACGCTGGGAAATTGAGGCATAAGAGCAAAGATCACATTTAAAACATTTCTCTCCTTCATGAGTTTTGATATGAACCTGTTGGAATACAAAATGTATCTTAACACTGCTGACAACAATTTTGGAATTTATGCACTAAAATTAAAAACATAAGGAAAACAGTAAATATGACACTATACATATGAATTTGTTATGCATATTTAGACCATAATTAAAGCATATTTAGTAAGTTGAATGTTCTGTGATCTCATGCCAATATTATAATTTGTGAATATTCCCCTGTTGTCAAATAAACTACCAATTACTATTTTTAAGTAATCATATCACATGCATGAGAACAACAAAATCAGAAGAAAAATACTTCCAATGGGATATATCATTTGTTTGTAAAGTATGAGCTATAGTTCGTTAGTTTGTTTGTGGGATATTAAACCAGACAAGACTAACAATAACTTCCAACAAATCTTTCTTAATTAGTCCTATACAGGTTCCCAATAAAAATAAAACAGAAGTTTAACCACACATATGCAGCTGCTGATAAATCCTTTTGCTTAATACTGAGCTCACCAGATCAGCTGGGCATGAAAGCCTCAGTTGAAATGCAATTTATAAGTTATTGATGAGATATCAATTCATATGGTACATAATGCCTAAGCTGTCAAAGCGTGATCTACAGATTACGGTTCATGTGATGCTGCATCACAATAAGATGGATAATAAATTTTAACAAATCTTTCTTCACTACCCATATATAGTTTACATGTAATTGCATTTCAAAGTTGAGAAACTGCCTGAGCCAATTTTGATCAAGCTTTGTGGAGAAACTCAGGCGGACCAGCCAAAGATCAAGTTTTAATGGATAAGAAATCATCCAAATGCTTGGACTTCAGCAGCCATTTCAGTTTTACCACATTAATGCAAAGAATGAGGGCTTCACTGAATTAGGAGATTGGTAACAAAATATGTGAAGTCAACACCTAACAACATTATGTTTAACGTCATGTGTAGCATGGGTTTCTTTGCACCGACTCAAAATACCGAAAAGGGCAGCCCATGCCTCCACTTATAGCTTTGTTTTTAAGCCTGGTACCTTTATTGTTCAATTATAATTTAGCTCCCAAGATTTATAATAAGCTAAAGACTTTTTTGTGCAGGCTACAACGGTGCTTTATTGGTGATTTTGCAATTAAGTCACTGCATATAGTATATCATAAAACATTTTCCTACCAAATGCAGCTTAATTCTTCAACCACCGAGACTTCTGCTATGCTGTTATGGTGTTGTGGCCATTGGTTAAAGATGCTAGTGTGCACAACATGTAATTTTGTACCTTTTTTATTGAATTCCATGTTACCCCCCACGTGTGCAAATACATTTTCTGTATAGTTTCTTCCCACATTCTACTTTGTGTATAAAACAGAAAACAATGTGATGTGTGTACAAAATGATACAGTATACAATAATTTTATATAAAAACCGAGGGTTTTGTTGTGCTTTAAATACATTAATACATTTGAGTATAATAACACTAAGGAATACTCTCATTTCTACTACATATAAAAAATCTTAGGATGTACTCTAATTTGCACAGAAAAACATGATTTCAGGACTTAAAACAAATATTTTAAAGTTGTAGTTAATGATTTGCAACATGACAGCAGTTATTATTGGTCATGACTTCTACTGTGTATTGCTTCTGATCCTCTACACTAACAATAAGTTGGCAAAACTTTTATACACATTTTTATAAACTTAACACAACAGGACACTAACAGCAGTAAAAGTAATTGATTTCATTTTAAATTTGGGTTTATTATATTTTTCTTTGCTTTGAAAGTTTCTGTAGAGCTAAATGTAATCATCTTATCTTTTCTTTGATCTCTAAACATAGAAAACAAATCACTCATTGCTTCTAGGCTTGTGGATGCCTAATGTCTGTAATCTCTACTTCCCTATCTTGACTAACATTAATTATTTTTTCCCTGATTTCTATTTGCATGAAGGTCATAGCACAACCTGATTCTGTTCTTCACTATACTTCTCATATTCAGAGTTTACTGAAACTATATAGTGACATGACAAGTGATTAAGAGTACTTACAGTCGGGATTCTGACACTTAGAACAAACTCTTTCAGTTATTTCAGAATATTTGTAAATGTTGTTAATAAAACAAAATCCAGTCATAATCCAAATTTGTTTTTTAATCAATCATCATATTCTTAATACAACATCATAAATCTTATTGAATTTATTTTACAAAGGCCAGAAATCTACAGAGATCAAAATATTACATTCCTGCATTCTCAAGGATTTAACTTTGCTTGAGGAATTTCATCTTTTTAGTTGGCAATGAAAGCAAACATATTGCATGGATTAAATAAAAAAATAATTCATGAGGAAATGCAACTTTATATGAGGGAATGTAATCTTTCTGATAGCTTTCCCTCGAGTGAATGTAATTAAATTTCATCATTTCCATCCCTGACTTAATACAATATTTTTCTACATATTTTTACTACTTAATCTCAAGTTTTTTTAGATATTGTTGAACTCTGGAATACTTAGTATCATTATCATACCAATAGTAACAACAGAACACAACACCAGGTGGGATTATGACTTGTTTCTCTGATCATGCAAATTTAACATTTTCTTTAACTGAAGATGTATTTTAGCTAGAGACTCACTGCTCCACAGAATAAATAACTATTACCTCACACATCTGTCAAGAATATTTTTACATGTGCTACAAGTCTTGAATAAAACCACCAGAAAGGGAAAAACTGATGGAGCATGTCACACACTAGGAGAGTGGTGGTGGTCTAGTGCAACATCACTTAGTGGGAGACCACATCCTTCTCAAGCTGTAAATATTCTACATCAAATAAAGGTGTTAGAGCAAAAGGTATTCTGAAAAGAGCCTTCTGCATGGTGCTATAGTGGTGCATAGGTGAGCAATATGGAAGACTGCTCAAAGGGCAATTATACCTCAGGCTTTCAGCAAAGCATGTATGTGTACCGTGGCTAGTACAGTAAATCAGGCCATATAGTACTGAAAAAATGTGTGAAATACTTACCAGAAAAAGGAGATCAAAGGTCAGATTATCCCAAAACTACATTCTGAGGAAAATGCAAGATCCATCCAGCTGATGTAACCACTGGGAATGGTCTGGATTTTAGTGTAGGAGGTGGCTTGTACTGCACTTTTAGGTAAATACCTCAGCCCTACTTCTCATTGACAAGTGCATCCACTCAATCTTATTACCAATCCAAGTTGGTACTTCTCATATTTACCTCTTAGCAGCTTGGGAATGTGAAGCATAGACTCTCACATTACTCCATTATAAGAAAAAATGTTTGTGGGGGAGGATCCATGTAGGGATGAAAATTGGAGAGGTGCGTGTACCAAACAGGAGTTTTCTATCATCTACATAAGGCCCCACATTGATAGACTATGCAAGGGGTTACCATAAATATAGACGGCAGGCACTAGTTGGGTATGAGGGCAACCACACACTCAATGCTATTTTGTTTTACTGAAGAACAGCTCTATCTCAACAGCAGACACTGAGCAGGGGCAGCTAGGCTTAAGATTTTTTTATGAGGGAGAGAGAGACATATTCCCTGTGAAGCAACACTGGTCATGTGGTGGATTCTATCACCATAATATAACTATAATAATACAAGTTATGTGGTTTTGAAAACATGTAAAGAATAAGACAAAAAATAACAACTCACCTTTTGATTTCCTCTGGGAAGAGTGGAGAATGGCAATTGTACAGAGATAAAACCACAATGTGATGCAATATGACACAAATGTATTGGGGTCATCAACATCCTCGCCTGCAAGATCTCATACAAGAAGTGTCAATGGCTAGGGGCAAGAGAACTCATGAAATGATGAACTTTATGGGATGAGACATGAAAAATAAGAAAAGTTTCATTATCCATAGAAGAATAAATTATCTATATGAAGTGTATAACCCAACCAAACAGCCCAAGTTTTGGGGAGGAAGGAACAGTCACAGAATAATCTGTCTCTGTAGTAAAGGAGAAGAAAACAGGTCTTAGGAGAAAGATGTTACAGGAAACATGTAACCAACAGTACAAACTGAGGACATATGAAAGTCCTGAGAATTAAACAAATATTACAGTCCTGAAGAAGAACTAGATAAGAAAGATGACTGATGAAAAAGGCTTGAAGGAGATCCATAAGACCTGGAGAAAGAAAAAGGGAATGGCTAAGAAAAAAGTGACAGAAGGTTGTGTATAAAACCACCATGTAATCACTGACAGTAGAAATGGGAAAAAGTTACAGAGAAAAATGGGCATATAAAAAAAGATTGAAGCAATCCAGACTTACAGCATTTACTGCCAGAATTGTAGAGTCTTAGAATGGAGACCACAAGAGTGGAAACTAGATGCAGGAAGTCAGAAAGATAGTGATAAAAGGAATCCCATTTAGGGAGCAAATCCACTGAAAATACAAAAGAATGGAAAGATCACTCTATGGGAAGGATCTGGTCTAGACAAGATTGTCGATCCACCACTAGAGCTTAAGCTCGCAAGACATGATAGACCAAGAACTAAATGTGGTTGTCATGGACCCAAAACAGAAAATCGAGAGCAAGGAAAACAGAGGTCCTGAGAGAGTGCCTCCCTGTCAATGGATGGAAGAAATGGCAAAGGAAGTGTCTGAATGGATCATGATAAGTAGACTAGACAGAAGATGATAGCATGCTCACTGAGCAGCCTACATCTTGAAGACACTTATATCAAGAGACCACTTGACTGGAGACTAGATGCCATAAAATGGTTCAGGTATCCAGAACTATATCTTACCTTAACAGAGGCATTAGTTGACAGGTATTTTGATAGGTTTGGTTGTTGTGAAGTGCAAAGCTACACAATGTGTCACCTGTGATGCACCCACCACAGATATGGAAACCTGGATATCTGAGCATTATATACCCTCATACTTACTGCTGAGCCACTGGGGGTTCTGAACACAGATGCAAGTCTGGATGAGGTGGGGGGAAGAGAGATCCCAAGGATCATGTGGGATCAAATGAGCACC